CCCCCCGTATGCAAGCTGCATACAAGTGCTCTATCGGCGAGACCACTTGTACAAAACAAGCGGCGGCTTCCCCGCTGTACATTTAGCTCCGCTTGCCCAAAGCCGGGCTAAATGTAGAAAACAACTACCCGCCCGGTGCCCGGAACTGCTTGTCCCGGGCGTCAGGAGATAGGAATTCCACACCCCTGCTGCCCCTCTACTCCCTGCTGCCCCAAGGCCGGGCCTCGGTTGCCCTTGTGGGAAATCCGGCCCTGCTTATATGAAGATATTCAATAAAGTTCTAACTCAATTGGCATCAGTTGCACTTCGAAGGTAAATACCGAATGGTCCACGAAAAGGGAGAATATAGAGCAGCCGGCGTCTCTGCAGACGTAGATATGCTTTGATATTCCAATAATCGAGAACCAGTTGGACGGCTTTTGGGACATAATATAAGGCGAGATAACGTCCCGTGTCACACTTGAAGGACAGAGGACGGTGACAACCGCGAAAGCATCATGCTGAAGATTTTACTGATTATGCTGATGTTGCGTTTATGTGAGTACCAAACTGCCAGCAACAGATTTTCTTTAAGAACACTATAGCAAATGTATAGCAAAATACTGAGGTCACCCCCAATACATACAGTATACCCCTCAATACATACAGTTGTCACCAGAACAGAAATAGGGGGGAAGTTTTCCAAGGGGGACATCTGTTTCCTGAGACAACTGTCTAAAGTTGGGTATACACTGGTAGGAAGGAAGAGTTAAAACACCTAACTGGGCTTTTTTTTTGCCATCTGTCTCCCATTAGACACAACAGGAAGTCAGAGCAGATCTCTCCAAAGTGAAGGAATTCTCCTCTTAGGCCCCATTCACACTAAGCGGCACTCACCTCGAGCGGATTTCCGCATGGCGGGATAGCTGGGCTGCATACAAAAATAGAAAAATGGCGCGACATCCGCGGGAAAAAGGGTCCTGCACAAGCGACAGCGACGGGCGACATGGAGCTGTACATTAGAACAGCTCCATTGAATATCATTGGCTGGTGACATCTCGCGAAAATGCGCGAAATTGCGGCGGAAATCGCGGGCTTTATTGCTCAGTGTGAATGGGCACTTAGACAGCTGTCCCCATTGGAAGATTTTCCCTCTATCCCTGTTCCGGTGACAGCTGTAACACTTTGCATTTCCAGTCACTTTGTGTCTCTGTAGTCACAGGTTAGTAAAATTTATCACCAGCACAACAGGGCAAAATCTGGGTGGTCATTATATTGATGTACACACATCTCATCACGAAGCAACGTTTCGGGGCCACTCAGGGTCCCTTCATCTGGCAGTGGCCCCGAAACGTTGCTTTGTGACGAGATGTGTGTACATCAATATAATGACCACCCGTTGAAGATTTTGCTCCGTTGTGCTGGTGATAAATTTTATTATTATTATTATTATACAGGATTTATATCGCGCCAACAGTTTGTGCAGCGCTTCACAATATTTGGAAGACATTACAATCACAATACACCGAGTGGCCAGATTATTATGACCCCCCCCATCAGTACTTCGTTGGGCCGCCTCGTATACTTAGATTTGAAGTGGAGCCATCCACTATCACTGCAGCACCCGCCTTAAAAGGGACCATTAGGGAGTGTGGTGGGGACCTCTTTAGGTCTTCAGTAGTCACGGAGACACATAGAGACAGTGAAACTACCGCGTAAGGACAAAGACAGTAATAACAAGCCAACCAGACCTCCAGACCCTCACCTCTCCGTCCAAAGCTAAAAGAGAAAGTTCTGACTTTGCATACACTTGAACTTTTATGATGTTGTTTTCCGTGTTATTCACGTGTTGCATGATCATGTCTAATGCATGTAGTTCTCATATTAATAATTAGAGATATAGGAAGAATTCGATGTAATTTATGGTCTTTACGGTCAATACGTCCTACCTGTTTCCCATAACCTTACAGGCTGCGGGCGGCCGATGGAGCGCATCGTCGGAGGTGTGAACGCCGTGCAGGGGGAGTGGCCCTGGCAGATCAGCTTACAGATGAAAAACATTTCATATTGCGGGGGGTCCCTGCTCACCGACTCGTGGGTGCTGACCGCGGCTCACTGCTTTCAGCAGTAAGTTCAGAGGTTCCCGGTGGGAATTGAGAAAGGTGGCTGAGCTGACAGTGAGCAGCTATATGTAAGCTCATCCTACTTAAAGTGACCCTGACAGCACTTTAAAGAGGAACTTTCCCCTTATCTTCAAAATAACAACAAAGGCACCTATAGAAATGTTTAGTAATGACAATCTACAAACAGATACTTCTAGATCATTGCCGGCTTTTCATTTTTTTGCATTCCTTATTATTGTTTTCCTCCCCATTCATGAGATCACAGATGAGATTTCCCAGCAATGCTCTGCTGATGTTACCTTCCCAGGATGCAATGCTTGGGCATGATTACATCATTTGTGCCAGAGAGGACCAGGAAGTAGAAAAAAGAAATTATAAGTAAAATACAAAATATGTTTATTTTGCTAATGAATGTCAGATGATTTCATATAAGCATGCCGATCTGTATGCTGATATTTAGTCAGAGGGGTTATAGGTCTACTCTAAAACATTTGTAACCCCAACTCCTTGTAATAGAAGAGGAATTATGCTCTCTTCTCTGGTGGCCTGTGTCTCCTACCTCCATTCAAGCTCCAGCAACCTCTGTATGACTCTTTGGCACCCGTAACCTATGTGAGTATTGGATGCCTGTATCCCCTGTCATGTGCTCTGGTTCTTTCTTTCCACGCCTATGTCACTACAGGATGGAAGTACAGCATGCAATGGGGGATAAAGGTACCTGACACTTTCAAAAGTGTTGGATGCTCGCGGTATACTGAGCTTTGAGTCACGGGAGGACGCTAGTTTATGTCCTCCCGTGACCCTGAAGAGAACTATGGGGAAAAACAATGACCCCATAGTTCTCTTTTAAACCCTTTGTGACGGGAGACGTACACTGTACGTCCCATCACGAAGTGCCTATATGACTGGCCACGTACACTGTACGTGACGAGTTATATCAGGCTTTGTAATGCCGGTAACCACTGATTCTCAGCAGTTACCAGTCATTAATGGATGGGTCAGTATTGAGGCATTCATTAATGAAATAGTTAAGCTTTTGTAAAAGCTTATTTGTTTCATTAATGAAAGAATGAAGCCATTACATGCAAATACGGGACCGCTAAATAGCGATCCTGTATTTGACAGCTGAAAATAGCAGAGAGGTAGCTGAGTGAGTCACCTCTCTGCTATTCGTTTTGACAGCTCGATAGCTTTCACCAGTGTATCTCTTTGAGTGAAATGTATCAGACTTCTGATCGTCTGGGCTGATCAAAGACCTTTTTGTGAGATCTGAATTTGACATGCTGTCAGGATCAGTCTCTAAGGTTATTATTAGCTGTTCCTAAGTTTGGAGCAGCCTAATAATAGCCAAAAAATGTTTAAAAAAGTTAATTTATCAAGCAGTCATAGTGACTGCTTCATATAAACTGACAAAAAAAAGTTGTTGTTTTTTACAAAGTGTAAAAAAAAAAAAAAGTGTAAAACAAAATTAGGAAAATTAAAATGATATATAAATACATTTTTTATACTTTCATTATTATAACAAATTTCTAAAAATAATAATAATTATAATCAAAACTTGTGGGAAAAAAAGTGTTTTCTTCTAGTTTTTTTCCTCATTTTTTTATATTTTATTCAAACTAAGTGAGGCGTTAGGTACATGTTTGATATAATTATATAGCCCTTCTCTGTCCTCTAAAAAACTATATATAATATGTCTGGGTACATTTAGCAAGAAAGTATATTCCTGCTGTGGAAGAATCACACAGCAACAATGTAAAACGTGTGTCAGTCATTTATGAACAGAACCTGAAAACTAGCCCAGTCATGAAGGGTGTGGCATTGTGAGGCAATACCACGGTGATAGGTGGCCTCAAAGTCACCCAGGGTTCTCAGCCAGAGGGGCTGAGTGGCTCCAGGAAGACATTACTGGTACCAGGAGAGAACTGCCTTTTCAGTTCTTTCTGGGTTTTCTGGATCAAGGTTGGGATCCTGGAGCCAGGAGATTTCTTAGAGCTCTGGGTGGGAAGAAATCTCCATTCCTGGGTCCATGCTTTGGTGGTGACCAGCACCTGATTGTGCACCTGTTTACATCCCTCATGAAGTGTGTGCTGGGATGTGTTCAGGGCCCCACCTGTGAGTCAGGAGAGCTCCACCCCGGAGTCAGTGTGGAGGCCAGGGCAGCAGGGAGCTGCGGGTTTGTGAACCATATTGAGAGGATTGGCATGTTATTGCTGTTGTCTGGAGGAACCAGACAGTGGCCCTAAAGATTGAGGCCGGAGCAGCAGTGCTGCGAGAGAGACTTGTTAAAAGACTGGGACACCTTGAGTGTACGTGACAACTCAAGGATTGGTGAGCCCCTATCTGTTATGCTACAGCAGGCTATTTATGTTGGATTTCGTGTTATCTATCGTTTTGAAAGCAAATAAACTGCATTGTACTTGCACCTCCGGTCTTCAGTGGAGTGTCCTTGTTACAAGGGGTTAAAGGAAAAGTGCCTAAATCCTAATTGTCATGTTTTCTGCCAATGTCTAGTAGCTTAATAGCTGCTAGAACCGGCATAGAATTTCAGAAAGGTTTTCCACCAATCCATAAAGAGGTGACTGTTGGTATCTGACCCATTGCAGACAGTTCAATATTGAGAAGCTTTTTTAAATAGGATTTGATAACAGACATAGAATGTCGGAAGGTTTTCCACCAATCCAAAAAGAGGACACAAAGATAGTTAAATATTGAGACGCTTTATTACATTGGATTTGACTTCAGATTTTTCTGAGAGCTTTTTTTTTTAATGCAATCTGTTAGTATTCATTTCTGATTTATAATTAATTACCGTATATACTCGAGTATAAGCCGAGATTCTCAGCCCATTTTTTTGGGTGAAAAGTGCCCCCCTCGGCTTATACTCGAGTCAGCGCCAGCGCGTCTTCTTACTTACCTCGCCGAGCGTCGCGTCACTACTGCTAGGTGTGCGGCGCTCCGAGCGGGGTCATCTGGCAGTCTCCGGGTCCTAATTTAGGTGGCCGGAGACTGCCAGATACTCGGCTTATATTCGGGTCAATACTTTTTTCCAGTTTTTTTGGCTAAAATTAGGTACCTCGGCTTATATTCGGGACGGCTTATACTCGAGTATATACGGTATGATTTAACCCATTAAAGTTGGCCTATCGACTCTTGAACAGGAACCATCAAAATAGTTATATCAGGAAAAAAAATCAATCAAGTCAACTGGACTTGCTGTATTTTTCTTGAAGATGTGTTGCTGGTCATCCGACCAGCTTTATCAATTCTGAATCGAGAATGCTAGTCAGATAACCAGCAAAATGTCTTCAAGAAAAATACAGCAAATCCTTGATTTATTTATGTTACAGATATACCATGAGCTGGATGAACCTTCCCAGACACATCAGTACAAATCTTAGGCCACAAGAACCAAACACTCCTAGGATGTTTAAGAACATTACTGTTAAACATTATAGTTATGTATTCAGCAGTTTTAGACCAAAAATGTTTTGTTTCTTCTAGGGCTGTGCAAATTAACAATTAATTTCTCGATTAATCATTAATCTTTTTGATCGATTAAAATTTTTTTGATCGATTTAATTTTTTTTTTGAAACTTTCTGCACGAGCGCCAACCAAGGCATTGGCCTATACACATACAGCACAGCAATGAAGTAATACAATGAACTACAATCACACTCATCCAGCACGTTATTATTCTGAGTTGCCCCACTCAAGCGGCGGCCATATTGAGTGGGGCACGTGAGATTAATAACGTGCTGGATGAGTGTGATCCTAGTTCATTTTATTACTTAATTGCTGTGCTGTATGTGTATAGGCCAATGTAGTTGGATCTGTGTGTGCGTTGTAATCGAAATGAATCGATTAAAAAAAACTTAGATTAATCGAACACGAAAATTTTAATCAATAACAGCCCTAGTTTCTTCACACCACCGTGTATCAAATTTGTGTTAGGAAGGCCATTGCGATTTCTGATTGTCGTTTCTCCCTAAGGCCTCTGAACCTTTCGGATCTTACCGTCTACCTTGGAGCGTACCAGCTCACAGACCTCCAAAACCCCACCGTAGTGGCCAGGGGAGTAAAACAAATCCTTGTGCACCCCAAATTCACTGAGGAGGGATCCAGCGGGGACATTGCACTGTTGCAACTGAAAACACCCGCCATATTTACCACTTCCATTCTTCCCGTGAGCCTTCCATCTCCGAACATCACTCTGCCAGGGGGGACCCTCTGCTGGGCAACTGGCTGGGGCAACATTAAAGATAATGGTGAGGAACTGCTAGACTAAAAATAACCATCACTATCATTATATCATCATTGAATAAATTAAAAAAAGTGTTCCCCTTGTCCTCTGTAGTCAACCTCCCCAACCCGAAGACCCTACAAAAGGTCCAGCTGCCTCTGATTGACAACCAGGATTGTAAGACCATGTACGAAACGGGCCTGTCCAACGGAGGGCAACTAATCAAGGAGGACATGCTGTGTGCCGGTTTCCCAGAGGGCCAGAAAGACTCGTGTCAGGTATGTGGCCACCGATGATAAAGCGAGGATGTCCCCTGCACACCATACAGCAATAAAGACCTTGAAGTAACGGTGGGGCTTGTAGTGATGTCCATGGGTGGCGCCGTGCGTACAACAGTAGATAGCAATGAAGATCACCAGCACTCGTGACATGAAGTAAATCCACATGTTCTTTTTTATTAAATAAGCATATCACAACAGCCAACGTTTTGGAAACCACACACAGGGTCCCTTCATCAGGGCAGATGTCTGCCCTGATGAAGGGACCCAGTATGGTTCTGAAACGTTGGTTGTTGTGACATGCATCTTTAATTTACTTCATGTCACGAGTGCTGGTGATCTTCATTGCTATCCACTAGGTATGTGGCAACCGGTGCAGATTTGAGATTGATACTCTTTATGCAACAAGTACGTAAGTAAAGAAACCAGAGATAATGGGTCAGCACTGTGTTAAGAGCTGGAAGTGACATCAGAGGAAGGGGCGGTTCTAAGGGCAGGGCACCAGAGACAGTACTGGGAGATGGATGCAGATTGTATCTCCCCTCATGTTAAAGGAGAACTATGAGGTGAGTGAAAATCACTCATCCTCATAGTTGGAGCCGACGCATGACAACGAAACTGTCACACGTTGGCTCAATAGATCGGGAAGTGAGAGAACACATACCGTCGCTCGCTCACTTCTTGACACTGTCCCTGCAGAGAGCCGTGACTGTCACTCACGGCTCCCTGCAGGGATTCCCCCCTCACCTGTCCGATCCTCCAGCGCTGACTGGCGGAACGGATGAGGGAGGGGGCAGGTACAGCTGGCTCTGCCTCTGGGTAGGCAGAGCCAGCTGTCAATCACGCAGCTGGGTGGATCTCGACAGTAATGTCGGGATCCGTCCCGGCTGCGGCGGTCTCAGTATACCGCAAGCTGTAGCTCTCTATATACTGAGCTTTGGGTCACCGGAGGACGCTAGTTTGTGTCCTCCCATGACCCTTAGGAGAACTATGGGGGGTAACACTTACCCCATAGTTCTCCTTTAAGCTCTGAAATTAATACCAGTTGAAATCAGCTCACCGTGTTACTTGCATCTCATGACAAGCGCCTCAAAAAGTACAGAGTATGAGGGCTACCATTGCTGGCTACATCAGTACTTTTGAGTCACCCGCATCACACATGTTTAAATGAGTATTATATATGTATCAATATTCCTAATTTTTTTACTTGTTCTGGGTCAGAGAGCATTAGGGCTAAAGCAACAACATGGCAGTATGGCTGCTAGCTTTCTCAAAAGGAGAGTCCAACAATGGCAGCCCCATACTCTTTGTTCTCATATCGGGGACGATTTTAGCCAGACGATTGCCAATATGGTTGTTTTAAGGTTGGTCACCAGAGGTCTCTGTGACTCCGTACTCTCTTTCTCTTAGCAACTACTTCAGTAAGACATCAGCCACAAGCAAAGTGTATTGTTTCCTTTGTATTGGTTGACTCAAAGATTTCTATTGTGAGAGGTAGCAGCAAACCGAAAACAACCTTTTGCACAATACCCGTCATGATCAGGTGAAGTCAGAAGACGAATTAGAAAGGTGTCAGGGAAGGCTCAGTCAATGTTTACACAAATGTTTAAACATGCTCCTTTTATTTCATTCCTAGGGAGACTCAGGCGGCCCACTGGTGTGCAATGTGAATGGAGTATGGCTGCAGTTTGGCATCAACAGTTGGGGTTTCGGCTGTGCAGAGCCCAATCATCCGGGTGTCTACACCAGGGTTCAGTATTACAAGTCCTGGATCCAGCAGTACATCCCAAACATTCAGTTCAGTGAAGGAGGGACTTCAATATCTCCAAGTAGCACCTTCAACCCAACAAAATTTAACTCGACCACATATTCTATGACCAGCACTGTGAGCTCCACTCTTTACAATCCAAGTACTACAGCATTGAAGACAGCTTCAGCTGTTCCACTCATCAACATTACTTTAGATTCAGGTGCCCCCCAAACTTATGTCTGGTCTATGAGAAATGTTATGATCATCCTCTTGTGCCTGTCAATGTTTTCATAGTTAACTCCATCTGACAGGATGTTGCCTTCAGATGACATTCCACAGTTTCTTCATTAGATATAGTGCAATATTTGTCACTTCAATCCACGTATTGGGCCCACAACCCTCTTTCCTGCTTTGACTCTACAACAAGGGGTCAATATCCTTCCATCAATTAACCTCCTGCTCCTGCCAATAGGGCTTACTTCTTTCCTGTTCTGCCCACTATGTCTACTCTATGTCTACTCTCAGAGAGCTCACATCCTCTCTTAATTGAGCTCTATGCATTCTCCAGTACGGCTTACTCCCACTATGTTCGCTATATCTCCCGCAACAAGGTTCACATCCTTCCAGAAGTTAGCTCACCAGTAGTGTTCACCTCCTTCCTACAATGAGTGTAATACTCCCAATAACAGGGCTCACATTCTTCCTGCAATGAACTCCATGCAACCACAGATAGGTATCACTTTCTTTTTGTTCTGAACTAAATGTCTCCATTAATAAAGTTTTTATACAGTTTTGGTGTGGAACCAAGATTGGAGGACCATAAATCAAATATTGGGGGGTGTATTCTAACTTAGAAATTAAGAAAGTTTCTGTTTGTGTTTGAAATATTGTTGTTGGTTTTTTTTTTGTTCATTGCATGCAAAAGCCTTTGGGGTCCTTTCCTATTCCTTAAAGAAAATGTATCACCAGAAGTTGAAAAAACACGTTAAATCTACCAAGGGATCCTGTTTATATCACACCTGGTCCTTTTCAATTCTGTGCAGTGGTTGCTGAGTAGGATGGTTGGATAGCTTGACCCCTCTCCCGCCACCGATATCCAACAACGCTGCTAGCAAGGAAATTAATACTAATCAGTTTTGACTAACAGGAAGGAGAAGGGACGTGACACGCAGTGCACACAGAGGTCCCACAACTCCCACCCTTGTCTTCTTCTAAGCTACCGGGCTAAACATCTGTATCTCTGCCCTGTTTTCCAGCCCTGTGCCTCCCCAGCTCTTCCCTGCCAACTTCTTTGCAGTGAAGACTGAGCCCAGACTTGCTTGCCAGCTATCAGTTATTCAGGAGAGAGAGAATGGTGTAGTGTCTGTTGGCTTGTTTTCTTCTACATCGACCCTTCAGTAGACATGTGCGATTCGTCTCGTTACGAATCGAAATTCGTACAAATTTTCCTGAAATTCGTAGATTCGTAAGCATACGAAATCCGAATTGCAGTTTCCGAATTATATCCGAAATACGAAATTCCGTTAACGAATTTTGTATCCGAATTTCTTTGAAACGGGAACTAATATTACCCCTGTAAATGAGGTTGAACAACATGACAAGATTTTTTTTTAAATCCGAAATACGGATCCGCTGCTGCTGAGAGTTGCATTACAACACAATACTCAGACAGGAAATACGAAATTCCGTTGACGTATTTTCATTCCGTTACGAACATTCGTTATATATTGAAGTTAAAAAGCAAAGTACATTTATATTGGAGTTGATGGTAGTTTTTTTTTTGTCCGAAATACGAAATTCGCATACGGAATCCGTTATCGGAATTCGTATTTCGGATACAAAAACAACTACCACATCGACTCCAATATTAACAAAGGTATTTTTGCTTTTTAACTTCATCATAACGAATGTTCGTAAAGTTACGAAAATGTCCCGAAACTAACGAAAATCCGTATTTCGTACGAATCCGAATTGAGTTTCGGACACGAATTACGAAATAATGGATATTACTAAATGGAACGAAACTAAACAAATTTTTTGACGGCGCACAGGTCTACCCTTCAGTCACAAAAACACATGATAACACAAGCCACCAGTTACTGTTCTAGTCTCTGAAGAGCTGGCTGGTGGGTCTGGGCTCAGTTATCCAATAGATACTAATGTTTTAGCTGGCTTGTGGTGTTGTTCTGCCACCAGCTACTACTGTACTCTCTCCCTGAATAGCTGGTGGCTGGGTCTTTTCTGTCAGTTCTTTTACATATAAATATTTTCAGTTCAAAGAACGTGGCAAAGGAGAACAGAGGAGGCACAGAAAGGGCTGCAGAATGAAGAGGGAGAGGGGGCTCTAGTGATAGCTGTAACTCCCACATATGAACTAGACATGTGCGATTCGTTTAGTTCCAAATCAAAATCCGGACATCTGGACACATCCGAATTTCCAAATCCCAATGCATTCGAATGTGTCCGAATCCAAATTTCGGTTTCCAAATTTCAGATCTCGTCTGAATTTCGTTCAAAAACTAAACTGAATCGGACATGTGACTTTTCTGGCCAATCAGATGTGTTTAATGCACCCGAATGGGTCTGAACACAAACTTCCACTATGACAACCTGGGAGCCATATACAGTATATACATATAATACTAAAGCTGAGGCTCCTAGACCCTGAATGGCATTTGGGATCTGAATTTCGGAATTGCATTTGGGAGCTCCCGAATGCCATTTGGGTCTGGCAGCCTCAGCTTTAGTAATATATGTATATGGCTCCTAGACCTGAATGACATTCTGGTCTAGGAGATTCAGCTTTAATAATAATATCTGTATATGGTTTTCTGTTTTACTCGCAACTAATATTTGTAAACTCCTCCGAAACTAACGGATATTCGGATTTTGTCCGAATACGAAACCTGAACCGAATTGAATTTTGGATCCGAATTCCGAAATAACGAAATATCTGAACCGAACGGAATTCTTCCGCAGCTTACATGTCTAATAGGAACGGCCATACTTTTGGCTTTAGTCTGGGGTGGAGCTACAGCCGGCACTGACAGAAATACAAAATTTCATTTTATTTCAAAATCACTGTAAATATTTATAAAGAACCAAGTGCAATGTGCACTGGGTCCTTAAGGGGATTTAAGACACACTTCTTAACTTCTGGAGATACTTCTTCTTTAAAGCATAACTAAACCCAAAAACAAAAATGTAACATATGGGATCTTACCAGTCCTTAGGCGTGCTGGCTGCATTAGCTTTCTTTATCTGGCTTTTTCCTTTATTTTTTTGTACCTGGTGATCCTGCCACAAACTCATTTCATTTCCCTTTTATGTCTACACCCACTCTGTATCTATGGTGGGGGTCATGTTGTCCACCCAGACTGAACTTTAAACACAGCTGCTTTTGTACATCTCCATTACATGGTGGGTGATGGAATTAGTAGGAAGGAAGACAACATTGTTTTGCTATCTGTTCAGCTCCAAGGAAGTAATAAGAACGTTGCATTACTGGCAGGATTAACAGATCATCTCTGTACTTGCAGAAACTGCTTTTAGCCTAAAATGAAGAAAACAAATGCAGCCACCACATCTAAGGACTTGTGTCTGCAATATACTGTATTACATTTTTGTTCTTGGGTTGTCATCTTTTAGATTTCATTCACTATGTGGAATAACAATTTCGGTATCCCGAGGTACACTCTTCTTGATGGCATGTTATTTCTACTACCGTGTTTCCCCGAAAATAAGACAGTGTCTTATATTTTTTTTTCAATGAAAAAGGACACTAGGTCTTATTTTCAGGGGATGTCTTATATTTACCTGGCTGCAGCTGTCCGCTCTCCGCTCTCCGCCCTGATGCTGTCCACTTCGACCCCACTGGCTATGCTGCACTTTGCCTGCTGGGAAATGTAGTCTTCAGCGGCAGCCAAGGTAGACAGGTGGGTGTGCGTGCGTGCGTGCGCGGGGGGGGGGGGGGAAAACAAATATACAATATTCGGTATATACAAATATAAACATATAAAATAAAAAGAGAAAAAAACCACACATTCCATCTACAGCCTTTTGCGAGTCTCCTTCCACTTTCTTTGACTGCAGTCATATAATGTAAAACAGAGGAAACAGTCCGCAACAACGTAAATGAATAACTTTCATTTCAAAATAAAACTTTTTATTGAGCAAGTTCATACAAATTATTTTCGGAAATGTTAAAAATTATATTATTATATCATATTAAAAATTGCAGGAAAACTTTCCAGATATAATAATAGTATTCATCGTATTCATTATTATTTATTAACAGTGAGTGAACTCAGGGGCGGACCTACCGCTGGGGGAAAAAAACGTTGCACCAAGGTCCTTTGTTCCTTAGGTCTGTCAGCTTCATGAATTGTTTCCATTCCGCAGCTGTTACATTGTGGAATTAACTCAGCAGTATTGTCACAGTGAGAATGAGTGAGTAGATGCTGGGCAGAAGAGCTGGCACTTGGCTCCATATGTTTTCATTCTTCTCAATCCAAGTCTTAAGCAGAGGAACATACGTGTAGACGCCTGGCCGATATTGCAACGCACATCCGGTGCCCCAGCTGACAATGCCCGCCTGGTACCAGATCCCAGAAACTTTACACACGAGAGGTCCACCAGAGTCACCCTGCAAGATACAAGTTAATATAATATTATCTCCCGTCTCATATCTCCTCTTTTTTTTCATACGTCCTGTTACAAAGTGCTTACTCTCTACATGATCCAGCGTTATCCATGACCGCCTGCTAAGTCCATCGGTTCAAAGCTTGTCAACTAATGCAGCAACCCATCCACATGTCTGTTTCACTCCCCAGTTACTCTCAGATACATAAATCAGCTGCCCAATGTATAGCTGGGTGAATGACATTCACATGGCACTACCACCACTAGATGGTGCTGAGAAGCATATGGAGCACCTTGGATATGGAGCACCATGGCTCCGTCTAGTGGCGGTAGATAGAGATGACAGTTAAAACATGAAACAATGACACAGACAGACAGGAAAAGCTTTGTTCTCCTCTCAGGCAATGTCAGAAAGTCACCACCAGGGAGTGGTTACAAAGCTGCAGGAGATCAGCAGCCCTGAGATGCAACAAAGAAGGAAAAAGTGATGAAAATATCTGTGTTAATAAGAAACAATTGTTTATCATACGCCGTTCACAGAGAAAGCTTACATCTACTTTGGTCACGTACCTGGCACGAGTCTTTCTTTCCATCGAGGTACCCAGCACAGATCTGATCAGGTGCAATTATAGCCTTGCTGGAGCTGATTCCTGAATTCGTATGGTACCACAGATCACAAATGTCTCTAGTAATAAATGGGGTCATCACTTGCTGGAGGGTCTGCGGGTACGGTAGGCCCACTGCAGAACAGATATAGAAGACATTATTGCCATTTCTGGTTCTCAGAAATAACTCTGCATGATGTAAAGCAGCTCTAAAAATTATTGTTTACTTCCACACAATCACTTAATTTAGGGGCCATTATTATCCAATCCAGATATACTGTACAGTATACCTCCATCCCTCAGCCCACAGTTTCCACTTCTTTCCATTTGATTACCAGCTTCCCCGTAAATAACTTGTAGACAGGTTTTCGAAAACCGAACGTACATGAATAGTTAAAAGATTTCAGGTGGCACCCGGATTTGAACCGGGGACCTGCCTGATCTGCAGTTGATCCCTAGTACACGCATAGTCAATGGCATCCATGCAGCACCCGCATTCGAACCAGGGAGCTCTTGATCTACAATTGAAAGCTCTGCCACTGAGATATACCCTCATACATTTCCTAAAGATCTTCCTCTCTTTCCCTTAATTGCAGGATGCTGGTCAACAACCTAAGGTCATTCTCTTTCAATGCACGGACAAAGCATTCCAAGGCGCACCTAGAATTAAAGCAGGGACTAAGCTGTTCCCACACAAACTGCCAAAACGTTTTTTTGAAAATCAAATGTCAAGCCCTTTGTTTTTAGATACATGCATGGCCATTACCTTCCAGGGGGCACCTGAATTTGGGGCAAGGGACCTCACAACCTGCAGTCAAATGCTCCAAGCTATTTCCCTATACTTTGCCATTATTTTATACTTTCCACTTTGATGACACTCTTCCTTTAAATATGTTTGCTGGCTGTTCCTTTGTGGTACATGCATGGACAAAGCCTTCCAGGGGTACCATAAGTTGAACTATAGACCTGTCAATCTGCAGTCATTGAGTCACTGAGCTGTACCTCCATGCTTTTACCAATGTTAAGGACCATTACCCCTGCTCTTATTCTCACCTGAGGAGGCAATACTGCCCCAACCGGTTACCCAGCATTCCATGCCAGTGGAGAAGGTGATGTATGATGAGGGCAGACAGATGGGTTGGATAAAGTCGGTGAAGGTGACAGGGCTGGAGAGTCTCACCAGAGCGATGTCGCCCGCAGATCCAGTGGTGCTGTACGCGGAATTAATCAGAATGCTTTGCACGCTGGAGATAACCACATGCGAGTTAGGAAGGGACAGTTCATAAGAGCCGAGAGCTACTTTGTAGTTAGAGGGAGACGTCGAGCTGAGGAGGAAAAATAAATTATTATGATGCACAGTAGTAGCTACCAACCACACCAAAGACTGGGTGAAGGGTTTGGAGAAGGCCGGAGAAGGGAACAATCTAGGACAACATAGCTGAACCGGAAAGTGTGCTGAATTGGAGAATAGCCAAATCACCTATGTTCTCCTAGATTGTTCCCTTCTCCGGCCTTCTCCAAACTCTTCACCCTTTTGTGAATAACCCTGTAAATCTAAGAACACAAATGTCATATTTTATCTTACTTGTCCTTAGATTTGGTGGCTGCGCCTCTATCTCTTCTCCACTTCACTATAAAAAATTACATTGGGGAGCGGCCGGGTGGTGGCGGTCACACCATCCCAGGTTGCTAAGAGCTTGCGGACGTCACCGGTTGCCAGAAGGAATGGGGACACTCTGGCTTGCTTTCCGCTGAGTTCCAGGCAGCCAGTGATGTCAGGGAGCTGTGTGGGATGCCAGAGAGAGCTGCTGGCAGCGGGGTCCGGCATGCCATTGTCTCTCCTTCAAACGACAAATCAGATGTGCATGCCACCCTCCTGCCCAGTGACCATTCCCTGACAGCACTGCAAACCCCCCCCCCATCCACCCAGCAACAGCATTGCCTCAGGATGCGATTAACTTAGGGACAGGCCTAAAGAGGAATAGGGACACTAGCAGTATTAAAACCTTGGCTTGGAAGTTCAGCAATTGATGTGTTAGTACCAAACTGGACGGATAAATCTTTCACTTCAGATCTTAGAGGAAGCTCTTTGTGAGCTGGGGTGTTCCCAGAGCATCCTGAGGATGTGAGCAGAATGAGAGTGTCGATGATATAACATGAGTCCAGTAAATCTTTACTGCACACAAGAAAAGCCATCACATACCAGGGGTCACCTCATCCCTTCATCAGGGTTTGTGCCAGTATGTGTGTGTTGAGCCCATTGTCGATATCTATGGTGTATAACAAGAACTTACTATGTAAAGCAGTGAGCAGCAGTGAGAACCGACGCATTGCTGATCAAGGACCCCCCGCAGATGTGGCTCCCCTCATATCGTAGACTGACTTGCCACGGCCATGCCCCTTCCACCGCATCAGTGCCACCAACAATTCGGGCAGAAACCACGGGAGAGCCGCAGGTCGAGGACTGGACAACAGAGCCACTGAACTGCTGCAGAACTGTGGAGGAAACAGGAAGTGATCACTACAGGCGGCACTGATACAAAGTCTCATGTGATAGATAATCGGGTAATCAATTCATAACATGTTCTATTTTATTGATTTCCTCTAATACAGACTGAAATCAATACGGAAACAGATGCCAAAATGATCAATTCAATTTCACAGAATAAAGTCGGATACACTTCAGAAATAATAACTGTTGCAGTCCTGGTAAGAACGTAACATCTGCGGGGACACAAAACCAGCATTTCATATGAAAAAGGTCCAACCCGGGAACGGCCGTGTAACATGTTCAATGTAATATATATAAAGCTGAACTTGTGCCAAATAGATAAACACATAATTGGAAGTGTCAACAAAATATCTGCAATTCTCTGTAGGCAGTCTCATAATCCAGGCACCCCTACCTGACAGCACAGCCTGGCTGCTGACCTTACTTGTATCCTCTGTAGTTAAACAGTACAGGCTGGTCTCTTCCCCACCACCAGCCTGCCGATTGACCAGGGAAGGAACATCAGCACAATGATGAGGTTGTCCCTCTGCTCACTTCCTCTGCTCACTTCCTCTGCTCACTTCCTATTGTAGCCCCCATCACCTTCTATGATGTGGCTACTAGACATTTAGTGATAGCCAGGGCTGTAGTCAGCCTGGCTGGAATTATAATGGCAACTATCTGGTTAATTCCAGGTGTCTGGGCAGAGTGTGACTCTGCCATGTTGTGGGACAGCCAATGAGAGGCACTGTAGTGTATGCACAGTACAGCAGCCAATCACTGGGTTTCTCTCAACCAGTGGTGGATGCTGGGATGGGGTACATATACTGGAGGGATTTGCCATGTGCTCAGCCATGGAATAGGGCTGGGTGCTGTTCAGCCTGCCCCCCAGGCTAGGCCTGAGGCCTGGGGATGGGCATAGGCTAGTGTGAGGGAAATGTTTCCCTGAGGCCTCCAACATGGAGGAGGCCTGTGTTGCTGTTGGAGGAAGAGACCCAGGACCAATGATGGCTCTTAAGGTGTCCTGCAACCCAATGGACTTCAGGAGTATGGCCGGTGTCTTTCCTGTTGAGGATCGATATTCATCCTGCTTATCTGCTACTTCAGTTGCTATCTGCTGCCTCCCAAGTGGATCTACACTGGTACGCCAACCAGGTCTGATGAGTCTGGAGTTTATGTCTGTTACACCCTGGAAGCTTAGAACCCCTACACCCTCTCTCCCCAGTGAAGATGTTCAATAAAACATTATTCTGCATTATACTACTGAAGTGGACGTCAGTTTGTGGGCACCAGAAGAAGGGCGGTTAATGCTAAATGGTGAGCAGCTGAAGATCATACCCCTAGACAGGCTAGAGATGGACAGGGCAATCACCGGCTCCTTCGGGGGTGAGTGCTACACTAGTTTTGATTAAAGCAATACAGAAGATTGATTTGCTCACTGTGCCGTCATTACCCCTCCAGGTATATGGTACAGAAAGTATTTGAAAATCCAAAATGTTAGAGCTGTCACCAGAACAAGAGGTGAGGGCAAATCTTCCACTGGGGGGCACCTGATCTGGTGACAACTGTCTAAGGCAGCGTTCACACGGGCTGATCAGGTGGGGAGTCGTGCGCGGATCCCCTCCTGATCTGAATGGTATAGATTGGAGGTCACCACAGTGACATCCATGTCCATCCAGTTTTTTCCTCCATTGAAAAACTGAAATGACCAAACCTCTATTCGGTCTATGGGGAAGCCGATGTAAACGGACATGTGTCCAATTACAGCAAATTACCCCCGTTTAGGCACCATCAGGTGTAGCAAATGGATCTCTGACCCGTTTGTTTTTCCGGACCTGGCCGGAGTCGGGGGTCACCTAATGCCTGTTCATTTACCCATCTGCTGCCCATAGACTAGCACTGGGCACCCAACTGAAAAGCTGACTGGCGGACCCGATAAGACCACCATTGTCAAAGATGGAATACTGCCCTTCTGTAGAGATTTGCGGTCACTTTCTGTTCCTCTGGGACAGGAAGTAAAGGGGACACAGGCAGCAAATAATGAACTAATGGCGGTTTTAACGCTCCCCTACACTATCCAAAAGTTTTGGCTATACCTACACCTTGATATTTTTCCACCTCTGCATGGAAACAATAGCTTGCATTTTGACATTGTCTTTTCAACACTCTCTTTCAGAAGCATTTTTATCCCCCCCAAAATGCCCTTTTTTGAGTGTTTTGCACCATTCTCTGTAATGTCAACATTAATCCCAGGAGGTCATCAGTTTCTGAGAGGCGCAAGCGCCGCGTCTGCCATCAATAATTGTTTCTCACTTACAGTCACTTAGATTTCCTGTTCTAATGTTCATTTAAAGTCTGTCATACGACAACTGAACATACATGAGAAATAAAGTTACACGGGGAGGGACAGTAAAAATGTTATCTCTTGGACTGCAGAGCCGTCATGTCTGCAGATTCGTGGGTTATGAAAGCCATGTAATCAGTGTAGCAGCATACTTTATAAAGTCTTCTGTTTTCTGTCCTCTTTTTCTGTCCAGCCTGTTATTTCAGGAAACTTAGGTTCCAGAACGTCAATGAACTTCACTTCCTCCTTTCAGGTGAATACAATGCCTTTCATAGCGGCCCCCCGGAGGCCCAGTATAGAGACCCTGATGAAGCTGCCCAGAAGACCTAAATCCTGAGCCATCCTCCCACAAGGGTGTTCAATTAAAAGGGGCCCCATTCAATGGAATCTGCATAGATAGCAGTGCGCATTCTACAGGTTTAGTGAATTAGACTATAAAATAATATCTGTAACAATCTCTTTTTCTTGCACATCTCTGTCGGTTGAACTCGATGGACTTGTGTCTTTTTTCAACCTGACTAACTATGTAACTATGTAACTATGTAACTATGTAACTGTGTAACTAAAGATAACTTTTGAACACGTTATTTTATATGGCGGCATCTGCTTTCACTTTATGGGACATGAAGTCCCAACAACACAGCATACAGGGGAAAGAGTACTTCAAAACAGCTTAAAATAAGACTTTGGGGCAAAATAAAGGAAAATAAACTATAATTATTACGTAGAGCGATGTTACACTGCAGGTTTAATGAAACGCTAAAGGATCCTCAAAGTGTTTGTTGTAATTGGTCTGCAGCAGAGGGTTGTAGCACGTTAGCCATCGAGAAAGTAGCCGTTTGCATTTATGTTTATAATGTTTGCACAACAATATATTTAGTTAGCCAGTAAAACGGCATCACCGTAAGTCCAAACTTCTCCTTTGTAATTGGTCTAAAATAAAAAGTTCAGGTCATAGTTGAGAGTCTTTTAGAATAATGATAACTTACCAACCAGCACCAGCAGAACCCGTACAGCAGTCATGATGCTTTGGTCAAGTCTGAGCACAAATATGATCTTCAGCTCTTAGCCTCTTACTTTATCGAGGTGACATGGTGAAGTTGTTGGTGAGACTGGCTTCTGAATGGTGCCGAATTCCCCCAACAGGACCCTTTGGACTAAGCACACGAAGACATGAATGGGAAGTATGAAACCTGTCAAACTTGTCCAAAGAACAACATGATGAATGTAACAACCCTAACAACCCCATATAGAGACTGACAACTCCACTGAGGGACAGCAGGTAAAAGTTCAAATGTGTTACTCCAGGCGACATTCTTTATAGATCAGGTGAAGCAAGATTACCTGCTAAGCAACTAATGCAACAAAGGAGTGACACCTACGTGCAAATGGTTTTCATGGCCAATTGGCTGCCTTTAGCTGGGCTGTGGTCTGTAGGGCTCATCAATAAGGGTAAGGCTCATTTCAAGATCTCCCTCTTTAAAACAGATCTAAAAACTATCTAGGTGACATTTGGTGTGCTAAAGCACTCTGTATTATAAACAATGAGTAAAATACTATGTTCATGTATTTGTGTTAATGTTTCCATCTTGCTGCTGCTGAGGTCGTTCACCCTCTTTCAGCCATGTCCTGTCTACATGCTCCCGCTCCACCATTGACGCTGAGGTCCTTCATCCTCTTTCAGCCTTGTCCTGTCTACATGCACTCACTCCACCATTGACGCTGATGTCCTTCATCCTCTTTCAGCTAGACATGTGCGATTCGTTTCGTTACGAATCGCAATTCGTACGAATTTTCCTGAAATTCCGAATTTCGGAGCATCCGAATCCGAATGGCATTTTCCGAATTATATATCCAAAATACGAAATTCCGTTCCGAATTTCGGATCCGTATTTCATTGAAATGGGAACTAATATTACCCCTGTAAATGAGGTTGAACAACATGACAAGATTTTTTTTTAAATCCAAAATACGGATCCGCTGCTGCTGATAACAAATTTTTTGACGGCGCACAAGTCTACTTTCAGCCATGTCCTGTCTACATACACCCACTCCACCATTGACGCTGATGTCCTTCACCCTCTTTCAGCCATGTCCTGTCTACATGCACTCACTCCACCATTGACGCTGATGTCCTTCACCCTCTTTCAGCCATGTCCTGTCTACATGCACTCACTCCACCATTGACGCTGATGTCCTTCATCCTCTTTCAGCCATGTCCTGCCTACATACACCCACTCCACCATTGACGCTCATGTCATTCACCCTCTTTCAGCCATGTCCTGTCTACATGCACTCACTCCACCATTGAGGCTGATGTCCTTCACCCTCTTTCAGCCATGTCCTGTCTACATGCAACCGCTCCACCATTGACGCTGAGGTCCTTCACCCTCTTTCAGCCATGTCCTATCTACATGCACTCACTCCACCATTGACGCTGAGGTCCTTCATCCTCTTTCAGCCATGTCCTGTCTACATGCACCCGCTCCACCATTGACGCTGAGGTCCTTCATCCTCTTTCAGCCATGTCCTATCTACATGCACTCGCTCCACCATTGACGCTGAGGTCCTTCATCCTCTTTCAGCCATGTCCTGTCTACATGCACTCACTCCACCATTGACGCTGATGTCCTTCACCCTCTTTCAGCCACGTCCTGTCTACATGCACCCGCTCCACCATTGACGCTGAGGTCCTTCATCCTCTTTCAGCCATGTCCTGTCTACATGCACCCACCCCACAATTGACGCTGATGTCCTTCACCCTCTTTCAGCCATGTCCTGTCTACATGCACCCACGCCACCATTGACGCTGATGTCCTTCACCCTCTTTCAGCCATGTCCTGTCTACATACACCCACTCCACCATTGACGCTGATGTCCTCCATCCTCTTTCAGCCATGTCCTGTCTACATGCACCCACGCCACCATTGACGCTGATGTCCTTCATCCTCTTTCAGCCATGTCCTGTCTACATACACCCACTCCACCATTGACGCTGATGTCCTTCATCCTCTTTCAGCCATGTCCTGTCTACATGCACCCACCCCACCATTGACTGCACAACTTTCCTCTGGACCTGTTTCCTGATAGTGACAGTGATGAACTATGCCTGTATAAGGTGTGTAGGCACAGCTTCTTGTAGCCTCCTCCATC